TCAGATCTCATTCATGACAACAGTGCTGCCTCATGATACAGTAAAACTACTGCACTTCAAAACAGCACTAAACATTCATCCCAAATTTTCAGTCTTTTCTCCACTAAAATGCATCTATTCCAGACTTCTTTACCTGATACGATAGCTGGGTGTTATGTGAGGAGTGATTGCTTTAAATTTATATAAAGGTATTTTGGCACTGTAAAGATGTGACTGCGATGCACATCTTCAAACGCTTGACTTCATACACAGAACTTCATGAGTGAACAATGCATTCAGTGGTTATTTTCCGTTTTAAGGAATATAACCTTATTTTGTAACTAAACTTAAAAAGTTGAGATAAGAATTTTAGAGCATATTTTTCTCTGATCCAGTAAAATCTTTCAATAAGGAAAGATGCTGAAAATATAATTTCAAAAACTTTGACGTAACTGTATATGTAATGCTATGTATTGAAATAACATAACTCATCCAAATACTGTGTATTTAAATGAAATATGAAATTTATTACTTCTACAATTTTAAAAACATAAAAAAATTTCATCTCGATGTGTTGATGATCAAAAATCACCTGGTTATCATTTTAGAAATTTTGTTGAAATTTGGAAGCTAGTGGGTTGTAACGGTTGTAATTTTTGAAGAGCTTGTATCTCAACTATAAGAAAAATAAAATTCTGTGGCTTCCAGTTTTATGGGAATGCTTTCTTCTGTTGTGAAATAAAGAGATTTACAAAGGTTTATGTTAAAGGTGATATATCCACAGAAATAAATACAGCTAAGAATAACATTAGCTTTTTAATAGGAGCACTACCAATAAGTTTGGAACTTTAAAAATAAGTTATAAAGCTTCACAGAAATTGCAAACAACTAATGTTCAGTTATATTTTAGATTGCTTAATACTTCACGTAATTTGGATTCATAATTTTACAAAAAAGTTTTGATAGTGGTACTCATTAAACTAAAGTAGAAGCAAATCCTTCTATGTTTTCAATAATCTTTGAGGGGAAAAAAAAAAAAAGAAAAGAAAAAGAGCAAAATTCCCCAGGAAACATGCAGCCTGACAATGCCATTCCTTTCCTGCTCAATCCAACATAATCCTCATAAGTAAGGATTATATACTTTGTGAAGAGTGAGGAATGCAAGAGACTAATCAAGTGGTACCTTCTTAGCATAAACACTGTAGCAAAATATCTCCAAATCTGAAGTGACACCAAAACGTATTTATACTGTGCATCTGTTGCTGAAGTCATTAATTTAAAGGAATACAAGCTATGGAAGATCATGTATGGTCTTGGTAACTCATCTGAACAAGCTTCTATAGTGAAGAACCTTCTGTGTTTAGAGAAATGTGAGTAAAGATACAGAAAATATCATTATAAAAGACACTTTAGCTTTTATCTTTACTGAAATAAACTCTTTATACACGGTGACTTACTCCTTTACAATTCAACCTCATTTTTTTTTTTTTTTTTTGTATTTGGCGTTCCTCTAGGGACCTATCATATACTTATTTAGTTCATTATATCCAATATATTATGCTTGATATTTGCTACATTGTAAGCCTCATGTATATATCTTGAGAGATTTTTATTGTTTTTCATGAGGACTCTGAAATAAATGGACATGACGTTTTAAAGTTGATCTACAAAACTGTACTTTTTAAAAAACTTCATTTAGGAAATCTTTTTCCCAGGTTAATACATTTTCTTTGATAAGAATATATTAAAAACTGATTGTAATGTGTATTATGGGAGAATACAGATATTAAAACAAAACAAAAGACAGGAAGTCGTATAATTAGTGTGCCCAGCCTTCTCCCTTCTTCTCAGTGAGGATATCACTGAAAACACCTGTTGAAAAGTTGCCCGAGATAACTTACTTTGTTGTTTTACTTTGTTTTCCTGAGCAGGAGCTCAGGCATCTCAGGTCAGCCTCTCTGTGTCACCAAGAGTGACTTTGGACTTCTGACTGATTTCCTGCCTTCACCTCCCTACTGCTGAGATTATTAAGTGTGAACTTCTTAATAAACCACAGTTGACAATTATTCTTAAGAGTTAGTACAGATGTCTCTGTTAATGTTATATTTCATATCACAACACAAAACAATATATATGAAAATATCTTGAATGGAAAATGCTCTTATTATTTTATGTAATAGTCTACCTCACCTACTTCAAAATCTGTGTTCCTACTTTTCAGTGCAACTCCCATACCTTATAATAAATAAAATATTATGCTATAACCTAAATGTAGCAGTATACTTCTTATGTTATTATAGATATTCTAGTCACACGTATATTGTCTAAACACTTTATAGCCTGATTTTGTTTATAGAAATTCACAGAACTGAATAAAAATGAAATTTATTTTCTCAACTCTGTTAATAGATATGCACCTGAAATGAAACAATACCTGCAAGCGGTAACCTTAGGTTCTGCAATCAAAACACTTTCAGGCTGAAACCAGTTTTAACTTTACCTAATGCAAGGTGTATAGCTCCAAAGTTCCTGTATTTCATATCACCTTGTTTTACAAGGTATTGCAGCACAGTTATGAAAGTTTGTTTAGCACATTTATAAAGGCCTACCATGCACTCTCAAACCACCATGCAAGATACAGGAAAATAAGGATGAAACAGAGCTACTAGCTGCTGATCCAACTTGATTTTGCAGAATAAGACTTTACCTTAAGAAAGAGACATGAAATTAGTAGCATATTTACTTTGCAGGCTGAACTGTGAACATGGTATCAAATGAGCTTGATACAAGATTACAGAATTCCTGTAGACTCTCACCATTCCACTTGAGCACACTGTGGGTTGCAGCACAAGTGTTGAGGGAGAGAAAGTCAGAGGTAGCAACTAGCTAACTTATTATGGTTTTATAATAAACAGGAAGTTAAGTATGCTACATTTGCAAAGAGAGTAATTGCTCAGAATTCTATAACTCAACTTTTAAGAAACAAGGTGAGGAAAAAACTGTTAGCCATTAGGTTGAAATGTTTTTTAAGACAAAAGTAACAGAAAATTGACACACCTTGGGAAAAAAATACCAAATTGAAACGGAATTTCATTTTGTATTTTGGTGGAATGGATTAACATTTTTAAAGTAAAAGACTAACAGGACAGTATTTTGCTTTCAGCAAATTGTGGGAAGGTTTGGATAGTATATGTTTTTCTTGGTTTTAGTTTCACTATCAGTGAGAATCCACCACTATCTTTTACAACCAATGACCAGCTTCAAAGCCAATATGGTTAATATAGAATAAACACCACATCCCTCCAAAGTTAGGAATATTACTAATCAAGAGTGCTCTTCTGTAGTCTGACTAAGAAGACACACTTGATGAGAATTTTACAACTTGATTTTATGATTTTTTTTTATGTTGGAAACTAGACCGGAATTCAGCTCAGAAGCCTTGAAATAGATGATTAAGCATCAGCCTTTTGTGACTACCTTGTCATTGGCATATATAGAGCAGGTATGCAAAATATCTGAGATTCCAAAATGATTACAGAACAGCTATAAACATTTTATCATAGTTCCCTCTATAGAGAAATTAGTGATCATTAGTATCAATTTCATGCAATTACAGGAAGACATTTTTAGAAGCCTAGTATTTATAGTTAAGGATTTCGTCCATGTTTCATATAAACCTTAAATCCATGATTACAAGATCTAAGCTGAATACTATAAAAAGTGGAATTTGATAGTTTAATAGGTAATAACATCATACTTGATGAATCTTGTTCAGTTGGACACTGCGCTGTCATAGGATATACTTTCTGCTTAGCATTAGGACATGGATGGTTTATATGAACAGGGCTATGAACCTTCAACACTTCATTTGAACAACAGTAATTTTACTGAGACAAGCTTTTCAAGGCATAATGATATGGACAAGTGACATTTCATTTACTTCAAACTAAACTTCCCCCTCAAGTGTCATTTTTGGTTATGCTGAGCTGCAAACTTCAAGCACTGCTCATTCAGAGTAATTTGTAACAACACATATATGGAATATTATGATAACCAAGAATTAATTTTTTCCTGTGACACAACTCAGTAGTGAATAAAGAAAACTAGAAGGTGACTGGACCACCGCAGCACAGGAATCTTTTTTAAAGAATCAAAGTGTTATGCTTTTGGCAATGATTCTGTTTCCATCTTATGTTAATAATGTGTGTAGAGACCCTGAAAACTGTAGAGATCCTAAAAATATACACTGTTGGAAAGCAAATAATGTGGGATTCACTGCAATTTAATCCCCTGATATCAATGACATTAAAATGATCTTATGACTCTTTGTGGTAGGCTCCTCATTCCTTAGTGACCACTGGAAACTCACAGGAATACCATAATACTAAAGAAATTCCTTTCAAAGATCTTACCTTGTTACTATTTCTAACTTGTATAAAGAACTTTAAAATGTGACTCACACTTCCAAAGCTTCAACTGAAAGTTTAGTTAAGGAATAAATGGTGCTCATATTCCTAAAACAGTTTCAAAATATAAAACTAATTTCTCAGAGGGTGAAACTTTGTGCAAATTGAGTCACAGCTAAGAGTCACCTGGTGACTACTCTGTGCTCAAGAAGTTAGCTCCAATCTGAGATATAAATTTCTTAGTAACGTATAATGTTTTAGTCGAATAAAACTCATTGAAGAAAATTAAGCTTTCTTTGTTCTATTATAGTAATCCTGTTATGGAAAGAAATGTAGCCCTGCAGTAGAAGAAAGTTTAAATATTGACAGTTGCTGTTATTTAAAAATGTGTAAAATAAACTTTAAAAATGCAAGTTGTTTAACTGTTTACGGGGGAGGGATTCTGAATTGGAAACGGTGTGCACACAGGGTCAAAGGTGTGAGCAATTTTCAGTTAACTATTCCCTACCCCCGCGTCTTGCTGCTGGCCATCTGGCATGCCCTTATGCAAAGGTCTCAGGACAGCACCACCAAGAGCTTTCAAGTGAAGTCCCCTTAACTCTAAAAGTCTCCTACCTGAATTATGGACATCCGAGTGGCAGGGGTCTCGCTCGAATTAGTCCCTTGTCCCGTGAAGCTGGTGTGGCAGCCTGCGTGCCCCTGCGGGACAGTCAGGTTGTTGGAGGCTGGCTTAAGATACATCACCTCTGACCGGGGCGAGCTGAGGGGCAGGCGGGTTTGGTAGTCGAAGTACATAGGGGAGGTAGCCAGGGAGGGACTGCTCACCACGTTCATGACGTTCATGGCGTTCCTCTCTTCCACCTCGCTCTGCACCAGCATGATATCGTTTTTGTTGATTTTCTTCTTCTTGCCCTTCCCCCCGCCTAGCTGTGGGTGGCTGTACTCAGCGATGCGGCAGTTGTAAGTGCGAATCTCCTTGTTTTCCCGTTTACACTTAACAGCGATGGTGATCATGGCCGCTAGGAGGATGATAGAAATCGTGCTCAGAGTCACTATAAGGGGCAGCGACATGTCCCAGTGGTGTTGCTCGCCATTCACTCTTGGTACCCCCTCGGGCAGGGAGCCGCTCACTGAGCGAATGATGAGTTTGGCCACCGCGGACAGGGTGGGCTTGCCGTGGTCGGTCACTTTCACCACCAGCTCCACCACGGGGGTCACGTCTTCCCAGAAGGGATGCAGCGTGCGGATCTCGCCGCTGGACGGATCTATCTCGAACAGGTGGTCGTCGTTGCCATCCACGATCTCGTAGGTTAGGCGCCCGCTCTCTCCAAAGTCGCTGTCCAGGGCGCGCACGGTGCTGACCAGGTAGCCCAGGCCAGCGTTGCGGGGGACCTGCAGCTCAGCTGTGTCGTTCTGTAGCGTGGGGAGCACTATCACGGGAGCGTTGTCGTTCACGTCTAACACCGTCACCCTCACCGTGGCGTTGCTCTCCAAGTGCGCTGGCGCCCCCGAGTCTTTCGCCAGCACCTTGAACTCAAAAGCCTTCGTTTGTTCATAGTTAAAGGAGCGCAGGGCATAGATGGCCCCGTTAGTGGGGTTCACGGATACGTAGGTGTAGATGGACACGTCGCCTATGTGCGAGGGGAGAATGGAGTAGGACACTGTCCCATTTTGACCCAGGTCGGGATCCTGGGCTAGCACTGAACCCAGGTATTCTCCTGGGATGTTGTTTTCATGTACCTGCAGCACGTACAGCCCTTTGGTGAAGCGGGGCGGGTTGTCGTTCTCATCCAGAATCTTGACAGCGAACGACTTGGTGGAGTTGAGCGGAGGGGAGCCCCCATCCCGGGCCACGATTGTCACGTTGTACTCGTCCTGTGTCTCGCGGTCCAGCGGACGGTCGGTCACCACGGTGTAGAAGTTGTCGTAGTTCTCCTCGAGCTTAAAGGGGACGGAGCCAGGCCCCCCGAGGCCACCTCCAGTGCCCCCTCCACCTAGAACCCTACACTGAAGCTGCCCGTTCTTGCCCGAGTCTCTGTCGGTGACCCGAACCAGGGCGATGACTGTGCCAGGCGGGGCGGCCTCGCTCAGCGCCCCCTGGCGCACGGAGACGAAACCAATGGACGGCGCGTTGTCGTTGCGGTCGATGAGCTTCACCGTGACCTTGCAGTGGGCCGGGATAGGGTTAGGACCTAGGTCTCTGGCCTGCACGTCAATCTCCAGCATGCCATTCTCCTCATAGTCCAGGTTGCCCTTAACGCGGATCAGGCCGGTTTTGGGATCGATGGAGAAGAGCTCCCGCACGCGGTCGGGCACGTAGCTGCTGAAGGAGTAGAGCACTTCCCCGTTGGGCCCCTCGTCAGCGTCTGTGGCGTTCAGATCGATGACCACGGTGCCCAGCGGCGCGTTCTCGGGCAGCTCCACCAAGTAGGATGGAGCCTCGAAGACGGGGCTGTTGTCGTTGGAATCGATCACCTTCACGTTGATCTGCACCGTGGCGGAGCGCGGAGGCTCACCGCCATCCAGGGCGGTCAGCACCAGAGTGTGGTGGTTCTGCAGCTCGCGGTCCAGCGCCTTTTGGATGACCAGCTCTGGGAACTTGGTGCCGTCGCCGCGGGACTTGACGTCCAGGGCGAAGAGGCCGTGGTCGTCGCGGGTAAGCAGGTAGGTGCGGAGCCCGTTCTCGCCGGCGTCCGGGTCGTGTGCGCTCGTGAGGGGGAAGCGGGTGCCCGGAGCCGCGTTCTCGGAGATGTCCATCTCGATCTGATCCGAGGGGAAGGAGGGGGCGTTGTCGTTGATGTCCTGGACCTCCACCTTGATCATGCAGATCTCCTTGTCGTTCGCGAACACCTCCAGCGACAGCTGGCACTTGGCGTTGTGGCGGCACAGGGACTCGCGGTCGATGCGCTGCTTGGTGTAGAGCAGCCCGCTGTCCGCGTCCACGTCCAGCAGGTGCGGGGCGGAGTTCTCCAGCACTCGGTAGCTGCCGGACTTGCCTCTCCCGCCGCCGCCGCCGCCGCCGCCGCGCTCCGCCGGCGGAAGCCCGGGCTGCAATCGGGCATCCTTACCGATGTTGCCGATCACCGTGCCGGCCCCCTGTTCCTCTGGCACCGAGTAGTTGAGGTTTTTGAGTGTCAGGGCAGGGGCCCACAGAAGAAAGCAGCAACAGATGGAAAGGTACATCCCAGACCGGTGGAGTGAGAACAGGAGCAGCCGGACTAGAGGTGCTGGCCGGTGGGTGCGCGCCAGGCTGGAACCCGGGCGGAGCGTGAGAGCTCGGAGCGAGCCACAAGTCTGTCGAGTCCTTCCTCCTCTCCGCACCCGGGCTGCGGCACCCGGCAGTCTCTCCTTATTCCGCTCAAGTTGCCCGAACCTGTTGATCTACAGCATTCGCACCGGGGGGAGGGGGGGGGGAGGGGGGGGAAGCAGCGGAGCTGCAGCAGCTCGGAGCCAGGCGGCGACTCCCTGCGGCTGAGGGCGAGCCCAGGGCTTTGTCTCTCCCGCCTGGACTTCGGGAGGCTCAAACTTGCGTGATGACGCCGGCGATAGGAAGGAAATCGAGTCTGGGAGAGATGATAATGAGCTGAAGAATTCGTGGGTTTTCCTCGCTCCCGCCAGGCGCAGTAAAATCCACTCCCTCCGGCAGGCTACAGGAATACTCTTCAGATCGGGTGGGGGAGGGCTTTGGGAGGTGTGTCTCCAGGCAGATCAGAAAGTGGAATCCTTAGTTACTCTTATTCGGCGACGAAATTGACGGGAACGAGCGGGGACGAAGAAAGAGTCACGGATGCGTATGCATATCTGAGGCTTCGCTTCCCCGGCGCACGGAGAAATGTCTGCTGGTTGTGCAGGATGGTCTGCCAGTGTTTGCTGCATTTAAAGATCTAATCTTGCATTGCTGGCTTAGGCAGCGGCGGCAGCGGACTGCATCTCCGAGCCAAGTCCTCTCTCTCTCTCTCTCTCTCTCCCTCTCTCCCCTTCTCTCCTTTCCGAGCAGCGAAAGGGAGGGGAAGAAATGCAGCGGAAAAAAAAAAAAAAAACCACAAAAAAAAAAAAAAAAAACTAGTGTCCCGATTTGTAGTTTCCTCCCCTTGCCAAGCTCCTCCCTCTCTTCCTCGGAAAAGGCTCTCCCCCCAAAATCAAGAAAGCCACAGCCTGATCAGCATTTGCGCTGAGAGCCCATTGGGAGGAGAAAATATAGAGATCTATCTCCGCCTCTGTTCGTAGAACACTCTGGTGTCTCTACGCCAAGCTGGGAGCCGCCACTACCATCCTCTTCCTGCAAGCAAGGACTTCTCTCCATGCAGTTTAATCCCAGTTCCCTGCTCTTGCCAGGCGAAAGGAAATCAACAGGCAACTCATGGTTAGACGTGCAGATCTGAAGGGGGAGGGGAGGGGAGGGCAGGGCAGAATAGAAAGGGGGGGGGGGAGCTACCCTCCCAGTCCTATCACACACACTCGCCCTGTCTCTCCCTAGAAGGGAAACAGTCTCTGCATTCACAGGGCTGGGCTGTCAAGTGGCTCTTTTCTTTCTATTCAGCATCTCCTTCCAGCGGCCCAGCCTACCAGTCCTTTTCATCTAGAGAGGAAAACCCTGGCGAGGAGCAAGAGTGGTGAATCTTTTTAAAGAGAATAAAGTGCAGGCTTCTTCTCTCTTCCGATGATTATTATTTTAAATTGGAGGAGTAGGGTAGGGTGGAACGCATCAAGGCTTGGCGTGATGCATTCTGCAGTCTGGCTCTCACGGTCTCTGGTCGACTTGGGGAGGGCAGAGGGCGAGGAGCTGCGGCCACCGCGGTTCTGCCCGGGCGCCCACCCGGTGGAAACTACCTCCACCTCCAAGGGGAGGTTAGGCTCGGGCTGATCTACACATCACGCCTCCTTCTCCGGGCGCCTTCGGCGTACGGGAATGACACATCCAGAAATGCAGGTGTTCTGATCCGCCGGATGAGTCAGAAGCAGCGGAACGAATCGTATTCGCTCTCCCCTCGCGGTCCTCCCTTCGCAGACATTAGTTGCGGCTTCTTCCTAACGCTTTCTCTGACTCACTCAAAAGGAGAAAAAAAAAAAATTAAAAAAGCTGGATTCACGTTGGGGTGGGGAGGGGGGGACGCAGAAAACGAGAAAAAGAGAGCGGGGGAGAAAGGCGAAGCCGAAAGCAGCAGCACTTTTTACTCTACCTCTTCCGGCCGGAGTCCGAGGCTCTGCAAAACAAGGCGTCTGCTTTGCCACCGATTTTTATTTGTTTGTTTGTTTTTGCTTTTTTTAAAAACCTGTCCACTTGGTTAGGCGCAAGATGCCCCCAGATCTCTCAGTCTTAGGGGAGGGGGCACGCTTCCAGGAACGATTCACAGCTTAGCCCAGGATCCTAGTTCAAGATTTTTTTTTTCCTCCCAGGGATCTCTATTCACAAAGTCCAGCATCGGTGTGCATAGCTAATTGTGCAGTCTGTTGCGGAGGGATGCTTTTTTTTTTTTTTAAATTCCTCCTTTTTAATTTTTTTTTTTTTTTTTTTTTTCTTTTCGGGGTGTTTTTTTTTTAGTCTGGTGCGCTGCCTGTCAGGATCGCCCCAGAGCCTGGGGAAGACGTGTAGGTTTCAAACCGAATAAATCCATCTCCGCCGGCCGAGAAGCGGAGGGAAGGGAAGGCTGCAAATTCGATTCAACAGTTGGAGCAGTGTCTCCGGGCCGGCCCTCCTCTGCTGCGGCAGCCGCCGGGGCTGGCGGGTCCCGACGCTCTCCCCAGCGTCTCTCGCTGACTGACTCTATTCACCTCACGCCGCCGCTTAAACATTGAGACGGATTCCCCGCCAGCCAATCGGCGCGCGGAGCCAGGCCCCGCCCCCTCGGCCCACGCCCAATGGGAGGCGGGGAGAGGGCAGGCGTGGGCGGGGCCGGCAGCCCGGGCGCTTTAGAGTCCTCGACAGGCCGGGGTGGGAGGCTGGAGCTCCGGGGGGCCCCGCCGAGCCCGCGCTGGGTCTCCGCGAAGGCGCCCGGGGCCCGAGCCGCCGCTCTCTCCTCGGCCGCCGGCCTCCGGAGAGGAAAAAAAGTTTCACAGTCGTTGGCTTTTACACGGGGATCGGATCCGCAGCCAGCCAGCCGTGGGGAATCCCTGCATACTTTGCAGAGAGAGGCAGAGAGAGGGGGCAGCTGCGGTCTTCCCGGTGCATTGCCGCGCGCACAGCAGCACACCTCGTCCACACACGCACACGCATGCACAAACACAGAGTCCAAGGGAGTTGCAGATTTTCTGACTACCCCCCCTCTCCCCCACACTCGTCTGAAGGAGGTGAGGAGTGTGTGTGTGCGCGCGCATGGCATGCGTGCGCGTGCCCGTGTCCGTGTGTGTGTGTGTGTGTGTGTGTGTGTGTGTGTGTGTGTGTGTGTG